GTGCTCAAATGCCTGCATGTGTATATGCTGGCCTGTTCTCACTTACTCTGCAGTAATTTACTGTGCAGTAAATTTAAACTGGTATAAATGCTTGTGTAGACATACCCACTATGCATGGTATTAATTCAAAGCCAAATGGCTCATGATTTTACTATACAGTTCATTGGGCTGGGCCACAGCAGAGTCAACAGCATTTCAAGCTATTGTGACCCCACATTATAGCAGTGTTCAGCAGGTGTGTGTATTCCAGATATCCCTTACAAAGGATCCATGTGCTAATTAGCCCCACGCTCATGAGTAGAAGTGGGTGTTCTTGTCATGAGTCCCGCTATCCTCCAAAAATATATAAGCAGATAAGGCATAGGGCAACCTGTTTTGTCACCACCTCATGGAGGGCAGGGCCACACTAATTATGTGCTGTAGGCTGAGAGAGGGGCTGACAGAGGGATTCTGGATAAACTGTGGCCCTGTTTGGTGATGCTTGCTAGATACTGAAGGCTGGTGAAGAAACAGGAGTCATTAGAACTGGGTAAGAAATGCTCAGCTCAGCTATAAGAGAGAAGAGGAAGTTGAAGTATATGCAGTAGAGTGGCTCACCGTGACTTGAAAAAGAGTCAGCACTGAGGAGGACTGCACTCAATGGGCACTAATGTATATTTTTTCAAATGAACTCCACCAGCCTATTCTTGTAGATTCCCATCAGCATTTTTGGGGAGGGTGCTGGAACAAGCTGTGGCCTCTCCGAGCATTGGCTTGATATTGCAGTATTTCCAGGGCTGGTGCTTATTGCTTCCTGCGGGGAGCAACTGCACATTTTTTTAAGGGCCATGCAAAAAGAAGTTCCTGTCAGCATGTTTGCCCTAAGCAGGCCATGCACTTTATAAATATGTTCGATGTTATCTGTATTTAATCCGCTTCATTGTTGGTTTCCGTTACTGCTGCTTTTTGCAGCAGTTCTAAGATAGGCAGTGTATTTAATGTGGTTTCCTTGTGTGCAAATATAAGACAAGGGTTTTTTTCCTCCATGTTGATTGAAGGAAAACACCTCGTCTTATATTCGAGTAACTGTGGTATATCTTCGACTTGTTGCTTGCTCTATGGTTTTTATTCATCCTCAGGGGTCTAACTTCAGTGTCCAAGCACAAGCAAAGGGTAATTCCCCCATTCTTGGGGTGTAGTCTGCTGGTCTCAGTTAGTGCTGCATTCAATATTCCTTTTACCTCTTAAGGCAAGGGTAGACTATACGTGATTTATTTAGTAGTTCAGTTACAGTATCACCTATCAGCTATAAATATAGCCTCTTCAGATAACAGAATGTCTTCCTGTTTGTACTGGCGATATGACTGCAACCAAGCTCTGTAACCAGGATAAATTCTGGCCCATCCAAAATTTTATCCTGGTTCCAGAGCACAGTTGAAGTCAGGGCCACTTCTAGCTGTTTCAGAGGACAGTCTGTCTGTAATCAGTTATTAGCTTACCTTGCTTTATTTTGTGGTGTAGATGGGTATTAAGAAACCAGCCATGTTTCCTGTGTATTTAGTATGCTGAAAGAGTAGGCACTCACATTTCAGATCTTGTAATAGTTCTCAAGCAACCTTTGGGCTAGACTCTGTTTTGCTTTACTGTCAGACCTCAGTTACTCCACTCTCTTCATTGAGGTTATTCCACAGGAGGGAACAAGAGCAGCACAGGCTGTTGCTATGGAATATAGACGGTGGTGGAGTTTACCACGATGTTCCCCAGGCCTGTAGCCATTCCTGCTGCAGCCCTTCCATACGTTCCAGAGAGCATTCAGAAATGGTATTGTTGGGTATACCGTGGCAAATGGATTGTACCAATTAGAGGATGAACGCTGCTGTTTCTGAAGGAATTGTGCCTCTCTGAGGCACAATTTCTGCCTCCCTACCCTCAGGACTATTTGCACCATTTAGCCTTTATCCTTAAGCATAACAATGGTTGAAAATATTCAGAGGGAAATATACTTTGCTTCGTAGAAACGGGCACGAACCAGAAGTCAGTTTCAGAGATCCCAGGGTGTGTGCAATAGTGCTGCATGACTAGTATTCAATTAAATGATTAGTTTCTATGACTGGCAGATGCAATTTGGGCAACTACTAAAATTATTGGAAAGTCTCTGGTTAATTAGAGTGGGCATCTGTGTAGTTTGAAGTCAGGGGGGCTTTGGAAGAAGTCTTTACCTCCAAAAGCATTAGAAAGTCTACTGAGCAACAATGGGAAACCTGTGGTACAATGAGAAAGATTCATATTCCCCAATCCCCCAACCTTGGGGATTATTCAGATGTGGGGTTTACATTTGGTTCATTTATAAAGGAGGTATTTATAAAATTTGGATCAGATATGAGTTTCAGATACCCTCTGACTTTTGGAGCTATTCACATCTGCAGCTGAGGCTCTGCCTAATATGGGGCATGTTGTCCAGGCAAAGAAGAAATGTTTGTATCATATTAAAAACTAACGCTGTTTATTTTTTGTAGAAATGTTAAGTATGTCTCAGGATTCTTTTGAGTCCACATTCTGTATTACAAGTAAATGGAAAGAAATGCAAGTGGTGGTGGTGGGGTTATTTTATTTTATTTTTGGTGAATAATTTGTTTGCCAAAAAATGTAGTTTCAGGGACACCAAAAATTGTTTGCCAATATCATCAATGTTTTTTGCCTGCAAAAATGGGAACATTTTTGAGAACATGAAAATATTTTACTTCAGCTTTTTGCAACAGAATGGGTTGGGTTTTTTTTTTTCATTTTGGAATCATGTTTTTATTTTGAAACTAACCTAACTTTAAAAATTATAAAAGAATAAAAATAATCACAAATGGTGAAATAATCCAAAACTAGAGAGAGGGGAGAGAGTGTTCTGGATTACTTCAGCATTTGTGATTATTTTTTTCCTTGATTGGATTGAATAAAAACATTTAGAGCTGACCCAAAACAAAAATGTTCTGCTTCCGCCTCCCCTAAAACTTCCATTTTTTGGATGACCCAATTTTTTTAAAATTCAGTCTGGGTTACTGAACCAACAATATCTGTCGTTCACATGGCTCTACATATAGAATAGCACAGCTATTTCTATTTTGACTTCCAAGATCCTCAGTCTGTGTTCATCTTTAGGGTATCAGTGCTTGTCAGCACTGTGTTAGGTAAGTTTGGTCTCCCATTGAGATGAACCTTGCCATTTTTGTACAGTTCCCTTGTGCCAGATGAGTGAAGTTGTTAACCACAGGAGCTTTCGTGTGTCCATGCCATGTAGTGTGCTGAATGCTTGATAAGGACTGAGACCTTAATCTTGCTCCTAAATTCTATGGGAAGTCAGTGCAGAGTTGAGCAGTTTGTTGCACTCACCAAAGGCTGTGTTGCTGAGGAGACATGCATTTGGCAGTAGCTGGAGTTCCCTAAGACCTGAAGTCATCATGGCCATGCTGCTGCACTCCAGCTGAATGTGTGATGTGGATATCAGCAAGTGAGGTCACAGTGCCAATCAGAGATGACCAAAGTGTGATTTGCAGATGCTACTATGCAAGAGGTTAGCACCAGCAAGGAATCCAAGAGACTAAACTGCACAATTGTGTGTGTACATCTTCAAGCAAAAGAGACTGCCATACTCTTCAAGAATCTTTCCTCTGCTCACTAGTATCACCTCTGTCTTGCCAGCTGTACTTCATCCATGAGCTGATCTTGTCCGACTGTCTGCTTTGCTTCCTGTCTACCTACAGTGCTTTTAGGATGCCAAGCCCTGTGGTATCTAGGTTCATGAATCCTGTAACTACATAAAACTGTTTTCATAGGCTTATTTCAAGGGGACACAAACAATGTTGTGGCAGAAAATGAAACTAGAAAGAGGTGATAAAACATAAGAGGGCACCTGGACACAAAACCTATTTTTCAGTATTCTTTCCAGGGTTCAGTTTTTGAGTGTAACCTAGTGGTTTTTCCAAACCCTGATTTAAAAAAAAAAGTCTAAGAATTTGTCTTGATGAGTGATGGGCTGTTTGGACCCCCCAGGGAATATTAGCAAATACAGACACATCTGTCCTACAATCTTCTACTTGTATTTTTGCTGCATAATTTACATTAGAAAAAACGTATTTGGCATGACCTGAGGGTGAAACTCAAGTTTGGCACTTAAAATTGCATGTTTTTCATATTCCCCAAACCCACTAATGCAAGTTCCTCAACCTCAAGTATGTATCTCAGGGGTATGGTAGGTCAAAAGAGTTAGTCAGTTGGCTTCTAAAGAAATATTCCTGGCTTGGGTCAGTGATAAAAAGAAAAAAAGTGCTATCCAAGAAAATCAGGTGGAAAATCCTCATTATTGGTACAGGAATAGGTGTTATATATATTTTTGGTTTTAATACACTTTAACTGCTGCTGCTTTGTAGCACTTTATATTTTGTGTGTTATTTTTTGTAGGTGGGTCTGGAGGATATCCAGCTGGCAAACTAGATATCCAACTGCAGCACCACAAATATATACAGTTCACTTGTTGTGCATTTGTGTAATTTCTCATCATTGCCTTGACCCTGCAAAAGCATCTGTGCAGTTGGATCCCAAGATGTTGACATAGCCCCCTGTGATGTGATTCAGTATGGACATAAGAATCTACTTGTGGATCTTTTCAGAGGACTGAGGCTTTATTTATACAAGTCTTTCCCAAACAACAAGCCAGAATAGCGTATCTAGTCTTATCATAGTAATAAAAACAAAATTCAAGAACCGTTTTGATTATAAATTAGCTTCAACATCAGACCATTTGTGAAATCACTGATTTCAAGGCTTTACTTGTTGATAATAAGAGGCTCAGAGCCAGAGTAGCTATTAATGTTCAGTGTTTGATGTGCTTCCCATACCAGAATCGCCATTGCCAAACTGCATTGGGTCTAGTAAGCTATAGAAATCAATTGGTCATTTGTAAAACAGTTGTATGGATATTTTTGTCTTTGTTCCTCTTCTGTTTTGCTTAGTTTCATTTCTTTTCTTTGAAGGTATTTCCTACTTTATTTGAAAGAGAAGAGGCACTGTCAGCCTGCAAGTGACCTCACAGCTTCTGAAAAATCTTCATGGTAAAGGATAATCTGGGACTCCCTGTTGAAGAGCATAGTGAATGTTGTGAGTTATTAACTGCAGTACTGTCCTTTGCAATAATGTTTTTTGGTATGGATTTCTGCATTGCAGTGTTTAATGGGGTCTTGGCTATTATGAAGTTTTGGACACCTTAATTCCTGTTGAAGCAACTAGAGTTTCTGCTTCTAGACAAAATTGTTTTTAATTCAGTTTTTAAAATTCTGCTTCTGGCATAGAGGGAAGAGACCTGAAAAATGTTGTTGGGTTTCTTTTTCATTAGAGTGATGCCATTTGGCTTAACACAGTTAATAATACACTGCTCTCAGCTTCTCAGGTAAATGTATAAATTCTGCTTATGAGGGGCTTATGACTGTGTGGTTTAAAAAGAAAATAATGATGTGGGGGAAGGGTCATCATGCAGGATATAAGATACAGGAGTACACACACTCAGACACACAATTTGATTTAAATACTTTGTTCATTTTCAAGTGAGAAGAAAGCAACTTCGGGCACTTTTTTGTATTCTTTATATCAAAAGTAGTGTATATATTTTATTTTGATAAGGATGTTGTTTTAAAAACTGGCTCTTGTATAAATTATTTCCTCTCCTTATCTCACAAATGCCCATTCATGTGAATGAGAGCTTATGTTTGTGTATGTAACAAGGCAGCTAAAGTATCAGTCCTGCCATCTTTAATAAATGAAAATATTCCCATGAGGAAAGGAATATTCCCTTCCTCAGCACAAATGTTTTTATGTTCAGCATCTCTCTTTCTGTGTTAACTGCTTCCTGGGCTGTGAAGGGCAGTCTATGCAGAAATAAATTTCTACCAATAGGCTTGTGTTTCTTATGTTCCTCTGCCAGGTCTGAGTGTAACTCATGTTCTTGTCTAGGAGCAAATGTTCAGAATTCTGGTGTTCAGAAAATGCAGGAGTCCTTCTACCCACATTAATAAGATAGTTACAATTTCTTCCAGAGTGGTCGAACAGATTTCATTTTATTAAGACCTCTTGAACATCCTCTAAATTGTGTCTGTTTAAATAACAAAAATTATTACTATGGAACCCCAAATCCAGTGGTTTCTGCTTCTATTTTCTTCTCCTGACTATCCAGTTTTTCTTAGGAGGTTTGGAAATGCTTGAGCTTCATAATTGTAGCACATTATAATGATATTGAAGTCATTCTATCCTCTTGATATAGTCCAGTTTACAGTCTTAAATTAAGGCTGCTGGATGTAGTTAGAAATGTGCATGTGTGGAGCTGAAGAACATAACTAGAAAAGTGATTTGATTTTTAATTTATAAAGGAAAATGAGCACAATTACTTTATTTCCCACTGGATGTTTGCCCTTTACATCCAGGTACCCATAAAATGATATTTTCAGCCTACTCTAAAGCAAAGCTGAGGACTGGAGTCAGTGAGCAGTGTTTCATGCCACAAAGGAGAGACACATGGCGAGGCTTAGCAGAGGTTCTTGAATAATTCTCCAGACAGTCCTTCATTTTGCTTCAGGGTTTTACAATCATTAAGAAAAATCTCCATAATCCTCCCAAAATAATTTAGCTGTTGCCAACTTTGCAGTTCTGAACCTGACATGAGACAGTGAGGTCTGGTTATAGCCTCTGGTTCAGTGGGGCTTGCCCTCCATCTCCCTGGGGCTCACATATTTCCCTTTTCTCAGCTGCTTCTTTCTGGGTTGTTGGCTTCATGAGTCAGACTGAGAGAGGAAATGAGTGGGAGCCCTCTCCCAA